TAGAGAATGGCGTAAAATTCCTATATCTCAAGAATGAAGGTCCGTAAGAGTAAATCATTCTAGACTTCTCTAATACTCACTACCACTCAACAAGTAAAGATCGTCTCCGCCGAAAAATGATTTCACATCTGTAGAGGTTTATTCGTTAGTGTTGTTTTGAAAAGTATTTGTTAAATAGAAAATGAACTTGATCAATCAGTTGAATATGAATATAGTCTTGAAATAATCTAAAATTATGCTATGTGAGTATATTGTTATTTTAGAAGAGCAGTTCTATCAGATTTTCGGATGGCATTTCTATTAAAATTCATTTCTTTGTTTTTACTATTTTCTGCTTATTAACGTACAAAGTATTTTAAAAACAAACATTCCACCTTAGGTTATGTTTTCTTGTTTTACTAAATGTGTGTTTATTCATTTCTGTTTCTAATATATTTATTCAATAAAAAATGAAGCAATATATTGAAACAACCAGTCCTTTTCTAAAAGATTCTTTTTTATGCTGGACATTCAGGATAGGTGCGAGGTCGATGAAAACTCGACCGAAGGGGGGGGGGGGGGGTCAAAACAATGGAACTTTTACCTAGACGTTCATTATAAATGACTTCTACTGAAAATGCTTTTTTCTTTATGTAGGAACAAATATTATTTGTGCATAACTATCTCCTATTCTTATGTTACTTTATGTTAAGCAATATAATTCTGATTGTCAATTAATTATATTTATAAAATGTTCTGTACTTGTTTGTAATTTAAATAATTGTAGAACTTTTTATATTTATAGATTGGGAACTCCATTATATCGACATGAATTAATAGATTTAATTTAATCTTTTCGCAGACGTTTTATTCTGTGATTTGATTGAATTTATTTAAAAAAAAAATGAATAGAAATTCTAGTCAAGTTTTTCTTGTGGAAAAATAGAGAATAGATCGATTTTGAAATATTTCTCTATATAATTGATATAGGAATGTTTTTTCTTCTTCTTCTATTAGTACGTCTTTTGTTATATCTGATTTTTAAAAATATAAATAAAAAAAGTAACTCTGTAATTTCAGTTCGAAAAAAAATAAAATTTTTGAAAAGAAAAAGAAAACGATTCGAATTAATGAAAAAAAAGATAAAAGTCTATCGTTAATTATAATTACAATTCCAACAGTCAATTATAATATAATTGGTTTTAGATGATTTTATGCTTTCTACTTGTTTCCAAGAAATTTAATCAATTTTCAAAATATTGACAAGAAAATCGTGTTCTTAACATTATATAACCAAGATCTTTAATTTTTCAATTCTCTAGCTAAAAACAATTTCTGAAATCCATGGACAAGATTAACATAGATGAATTATCGTACTAGATTTTTGTAAGGTGTCGAAAATTGAAAATTTTAGCAAATTTTTCTTTTCAATTTATTTTGTGTCGTTGAGTAGAAATCATTGAGAAATCCATGAAAAACTACTTTTCCAATTTTTGGGAATAAAATTTTTCTGGAAATATTAGAAAAAAAAAAAGATTTAAAGTTTGTTTCAAAATTTAATTAAAAAAATCGAAGTTTCATTTTTCTTGAAAGTTTAACTTTTTATTTTATAAAAAGATTCAATTTTTCAAAATTTCTATGTTTTTGTTTTAATTTCCAAATCTTTCTTAAAAATAAAAAGTTAAATTTTAATTGAAGAAAAATGAAGTTCATTTTATATTGATATCGTTTATATTTTTGAAAAAACAATTCTATTCTCAAAAAAGATTCTTAACAGTTTAAACAAAAATTTTTGTTAAACCAATTGATTAAATAACATTCAAAACCACATCACTTAATTCAATTAATGTATCTTTACAATATATATCCGATAAATTGATCGTGACGAATTCTACTAATGTCATTGATTAGTTTAAATACTTGTTCATGCGTAAGATATCTTTTATATCAAATATGTACGAACGAGAACTTCTCAAAATTAGCTTAAAGCTTTCTGTTAGTCTTTACGTTTTTATGATTTTCATTAAACGAAACTCTGAATCCAATTCTAGTTTAGAACAGCTCTTGGAACCATGAAACTCGTTAATTGAGTAACACGATCTTTCTTCTAGTATAAGATTGAATAAGTGAGAGTTCGAAATAGTTTTGGCAAAAAAAAGTACAAGAACTAATTGTAATTATCTATCATAAAAGGAAAGAGTTCAAAAAGAAATTCACAAAATTCTAAATGTCAGAGACCTGAAAGTTCATAGTAATAGGCACAGTCAGAAAACTTTATAAAACGTATAAAAACATTGATTTTAATTGATGATTAATAGAAAACATCAGAGGCAATCATCGTCAACTTGTCAACTCATCTTATTCTTAGAATAGAATATTGTGAATCTTAGTATTAAATCATATCCAAGCTAAGAACTTTAGCGTGGCCTGACCTGCATGACAGGTCAAAAATTTTCTAATCTGATTAGGCCAGGCTAGCAGCTCTGAACTGTATCCGATTACACTATAGTTTCAAGACAACTCATGGCATCAGTCTGAATGAACTCGGACGATCTCAAGCAATATTCAAGAATTTGTTTGAAGATAACTGAATCTAATGGACACCACCATTATCTTTCAAATCCACTAGAAGAGATACTAAAATTAGATCTTAGCTAAAAATGTTAAATAGTGATAGTTATTTGTTTCTCACATTAAACCTTGATTATAATATTGTACTTTTCTATTTAATAAAAGTAATGATGAGAACAATATATTTTATTATGCCTTAATAATCATCTAGAATATCGTATATCTGAAACGATTAATGATTTTCGAATAGATTTTCAAAATGTTGTTTCTCTGACAAGAAAATGTTCATCTCACTTTCTATGTGAAAGTAAAAAAAAACTTATTTGATCAATTAACAATCGAAATAATGAAACATAAACAAAAAAAGAACATTTTGTTTTGAGAAATCTCACAAAAAAATACTATACGATCTATTTTCCATATTTAAATGAATTTCGGTTTGATTCTCACTGAAAAATCTAATAATTCTGAGTGAGATATTGATTATGTTATAGGTATCCAGAGAAAGGAATATCTTTCATACAAAATGAATTCAATCGATTAGTTTAATGCTAATATGGATTTATAAGAATTGACGGTTAAATTAAGCGAGTAGATTATTTTCTTTTTCATAGGTCTTCACTTATGATGATCGAATCTATTTATAGAAAAAAAAAAATTCTGAAATTGATTATATTTTTCTTTTTTCATATACTTATAGAATATTCCTCATGGAAAACGAATAGAATAAATAAACAACAACTATGAAACATTCGAAATATTACATTTCATCAATATTCCGAAACACGTCAAAACAGTTTCAATTCAATGTTATACTGACAATATCAAAGATGATGGTATTATGAATGTTATTCATTTTTTTATTTTACACTAACATAGAACATAGAACGAAAATAACATATAACACAATAGTCTTTTGTGCTCGGAATGATAAATTTCTTTTTTTCTCTTTATTCATAAAACATCTTTGAAATATCGATGATAAATGAAAGAAATTTTTAAAAATATTTCTTTTTTTTCTTTCTTCTTATGTCATAGAATTTTACTTTTTAAATATCGTCTCCAAAATGATAAAAAACCTGACAGTTCTCTATAGATGAGAGGAATTGAACAAGTTCAAATCAGTATATATCCTTTATAGGAATCAAATTTAAACGAATCTTTATATCTTTTTGTAGAAGATATATTTTAGTTTTATTTTAGAATCAGTAGTTTTTTTTCACTCTTGCTTGAATATTTTCTTTTCATAGTGAATTTTTATCTATAAAAACAGTAGATTAGTCATGGCTCGACGTCGAAAATTAGTTCGATAGTTGATGTTTCGCATTGTTTATTAGTTGATAATAAGAACTTGCAAAAAAAGTACTTTATGAGAAAATCGACTTTACTATTATACAAAAATCTACAAATAAATTTAAATTAAATAAAAGGAAACGTACAATTGCATGAGTGACCTAATTTTGTTTTTCTTTGGAAATCTGAAAAGAAAAAGACAATGTAATCAGAAAATTTTCTAACTTATTAGATGATACCGTAGAAAATAATCATTAGTTATTGCCTTTTTTTTTTCTTCAATTTTTCGAATCAAAAATTGATTATTGAATCAAAAAAAATTGTTTTTCATCTGGCTTATCTTGATGTAAGCGTCCGAAAAAAGTCAATTCATCAACTAGAGTTTCTATTAATAGAGACGTCTCGTTTAATTAAAACAACTGATTCATTGAACATACAAATATCCCTATTTTATCACTAGAATTTATCGGAACTATTTAAATGTTCACAAATATGAACATGATGTAGGGATCAATCTGGGGACCAGAATTTATAGTAAATTATAGACATTTTATACCCAAACTTCCAAACAGTTTCAATTTGGGTTAGATATCCAAAGTTGATTAACATTTCATGTTTCACTTTATGTTGGTTTCATACTTATATAAAAGGCACAAGCCCTTTTCTACTTGTTCTGTGGACAGGACAAACTATTTTGCATATATATATATATATGTTAATTGAAAAACGACCTAAACTCAAACTGTTTGGTGAGTTTGGATTAGGGGTGGACCATTTACATTAATTTAAAATTAAGTTTAAGTTTATCACTTAACACTTAATATTAAGTGTTAAGTGATAAACTTAATTAAGTGCATTAATTAAGTCCCGTTAAAAAAAATGTTCCACCCCTAGTTTGGATACCAAACTCATAAGACTAAACTAACCAAACCCAAACTGTTTGGGTTTGACACATGCCTATCTACCTTCTTCTAGCTACGCCATTAAAATTCTTCAGAAACAAAAAAAATTGTTTCACCGATAATATCAACGTTTTATTAGTGGATGTAAGCATTTTATAGCTTATAACATAAAAGAGAGGCAAAGAGAAAAAAGAAGTAGTTATCTATGAGTATTATCTTAAACACATAGATCTGTTCTATATGACAAATAGGAAACTAAAGCCAAAGACGAAATCTTGATACTTCAACATTTATTCGACCATTAGGAAAGCGAGTTTGGGCCATTAATCGATAAGGTTCAACTTTTTCATAATGAATTTCCCCATAAATATCGATAAAGGTAAATTCTTTTAATTTCTCGACCAATTGAGAAAGATCTTGTTGAAAGACATTTACATGTTGAGCTAAAAGAAAAGAATAATATTATTAATCTACTTTGACGTGTAAAATAATTGTATTCGTATATATACCAATTGATTCGGGTGTTTGTAGAGACTTTAGCCATCGTAGAAGTGGATACACATTGGTAGATCTTATTCCTTTATCTGGTCGAACTTAAATGAAGAAAAAGACAATAAAAGAATATTAATCCGTAAAATATATGAGATTTTCAATAGAAAATAGTTTTCTGTTTCCTTATCGAAAAAAAAAGATCATTTCAATGAATCTTTTTAACCTTCATCTCGTTTTATATAAAATAATAATTTCATATTTTTGCTCAATTAAATAACTTTTATTGATGAGGTATTTTTTTTTTGTTTAGTAAAAAGTCCAATAAAATGTCAACTTTCTTATGTATAGTTTGAAAACAAAATTGATTTTAACATTCGAAATACATGTTTAAGAAAAGAAGTTGTTCTTTTGCAACTCATTTTGTTATTTGCTAAATTCAACAGCGCAAAAAACTATGTTGCAGACGAAACTTTCGTTCTTTTTATTTTTTTTCTAATCATTTTACTTTTTAATCAGACCATTTTGAAAACATTAACAATTTTATGGATACTTTCAAATGAAACTTTGTTTTATTTTTCTATTTCTCTTTTATACAAAAAAACATATAGCAGCGCCGCGAGGAACGAAATAGCTTTAACTTACTCAATGAGGAAGAATTTTTGAACCGTGTAAAATAATTGTTGCTCTAAAATTGACATGGATTATGGGTGAATGATGAAATAGGGTCTAATTTTACAAGGTTAAAAGATTTGATCACAGTTGAGTGAATAATATTTAGAAATATTATTCAAAATAATAAATCTATTTTTATCTATTTTGTTTTTTTCATAATATTAAAATCGATATTGAACATAATTAAGTGAATAAAGTAGAGAAACATCTCAATAGAATATTTGACAAAACAAATTATTTCGAGTTTATTAAAATAATAATCGATTGTTCAATGTTTCCATAATTAATCAACAAGAATGAATAAAATCTAATATCTATCATTAAGTTCAATTACAAAAGAGAAAATAAATTCATCCCAAAAACTAAAACGATTGTTTCAACTTTTGAAAAATTCTAAGAGAAAATAAATGTTTTAAAAGCATTCGATCTTACTTCTCAAGTATCGAGTAAATATCACATAATTATAAATCTTCTTCATTCAAACAAGAGAAAATCTCAATAGAATTTATAGAAAAAAGATTAGTTTTTCAATTAAGTTGACTGATACTTAACAATAATAATATCTATATGATAAATGAAAGATAAAATAAAAGTCAATATTAGGGAAAGAAAACATATCGTAGATAAATAATTGATTTAATTGTAACTAATTTTGTTGATTTAAAATAAACTTCCTAGATGTCCAAGGAAAATCATCTGATCGCCAAAGACGTAATGTTTGTAAATGAGGCATATATCTACTAAGAAAAGGCACAAGACGTTTACCAATATGATTTGCTTTGTTAAAACCATAATGACAACTCGGAAGACAAAATTCAGCATATAGAACAGTATCTAATGCATTCCTTCTTAATTCATCAAATGCCTAAATAGAAAAGGAAAATAAAAATAAGTAAATCATAATAATCTTGAAGAATTTATTCATCAAATAAAACTAATTCTATTAAAATGATTAAAAAAGATATTTTAGTAACGATCTACATAAAACAATTGTTATAAAATTTTGTTGCTTTATCTTATCTATAATCTTGCCTTTCCTTTCTAGCTCTCAAAATGATTACGTAGTAATAGAATAACGATATTATTCTAATATTAACCAACTATTTTCACCCGCTTTGACTAATCAGATCATTTTATATCTCATGTTTTAAAGTCTTTTCAAATCTTTATTTTTATTCTGGGTTTACATTAGCATTTTCTTTATTTTATTTCGATAAATTAGAGTTAACGGTTGGTTTTTCTTCGAAAGATAAAATGATTCCATTTGTTTGTTCTTCATATTCAAATAGTAACTATAATTTCCTATGAAAAATTAATATACGAAATAATTTTTCTTGTTTTTTCTATTTTTTTCCAAAATGAACATTTTTATTTCAATTACGAAGTAAATAGACTAAATTTTTGATAAGGATCAAAAGTGTAATGACTATGACTGTACGTTACGAGTAGATTTTTTCTTCTCAAAATAATTGCTCTTTGAGTTATTTATTTAAATGATAGATTGACCAGTTTTCCTTAGGAATATATATAAAGAATGCAATGTAACAAAAACGTCATTTTTTCTTGAAATAAATCTCAACTCTTATTTGAATGCTAAAAGGCATCTTTACTTAAGCATATAACAAAAATAAAAAGAGAAGTAAAACTTTAAAAACATGTCTCGTCTATTTTGTTTTTATTTATTTAAAATTTCACATAGAAAATAAAGAAAAGAAAAGATTCTCTAATTCTAAAAGATAAAAGAAAAAATTGGCTCATACTTCTTTAACGTTTGATAAAAATCACGGCTAATCTTGACTAAACTTCAGCCAGCATCACTATGATCGTGCCTTTGAATTGTGAGGATAAGTGCAATCTCTAGGCTCAACACGAAATTCAAATTAGTCGAAGTTAACGTGATGGTTAATATTTCCCAAGAGGAAATAAAAATCAAGTCTTTCGATTAAAATTAGATAGACCTCAATAAAATGTCTTTATCTTGAAAATAATTGAACAGTTTAATTATATAGGAAAATAAGATGAGATGCTTTTCAATATGCTGTGTAATTAGTGTAAGACCTCTACCTTCTTAAAAGAGATACTTCGAAAATATCACTTTTCTTTGAATGATGCAAAACAAAAACTATAAAATTGTTTTATATGGATATATTCAAATAAAATATATACATAAGAGAAATAAATTGAATAATTTAAACCAAAATAAAAAATGAAAGAAACATACGTATTGAACAACATGTAAGAGCCATTCGAATTGTTCAACTAGAAGATATTTGAGTTGTAGAGTCATTGAAATGAGATGAGCAAGTACTTTTTCACGTATTTTATTACGATCTATTGGCTCATCGACACGACCTGCACAAAAAATATTTAGTTTCGATATTATTTTCATAAGAATATTTGTTAAAACATGAAATAAATTTATTCTGATTGATATTTTTTTAAAATGAAAAGCTAGTTTTTTTCAAATCTATCTTTTAAATCATTCATATGAAACTAAAATATGAATAGATGAACACTTTTCTAATCGACAAGTCGTGGAACAAATATTAGACGGAGAAAAGTCACTTTTGTTTTTACACATAGTTCATATTTCAATTTTGAGTTAAGTACAGGTGACACAAAAGTTTATTTACCGAAGGAAAAATCGAATATATCCGGCATATATTGATCAGAGAGGCTGAGTTTTTTTTCCCACTAATAAATGAGTATTCATAGTTCATATTGATAAGAGAAATGTTGACAAAAACTTTTTTCAAGTATCATTGTTCACTTGATTAATGAAGAGTAACCTTACGGGAGTTATGAAAAATCGTATTACAATTTTTCTAAATAAAGGGTGTCCCATAATAACTGACGATAAATTATTTTTCATATTTTTCATACTTTTTCTTGATCTAGAGAGCTGAAATTTTTATCAG